GGCAGTAGCTCAGTAGGCGGAACCACACCATACAGGACTTTGAAGACCAGGGGTCTGCAAACCTTTTCTGCAAAGGACCAGATAGCAAATATCACAGGCCACGTGTGCCATGCAGTTTCTGTTGTACCTATCCAAATCTGCTGTTGTAGAGTGAAAGCAGTCATAGGTGATCTGTAAATGAATGAGTGTGGATGTGTTCCAATAAAACTTTACTTACAGAAACAGCCTGCCTGCCAGATTTGGCCCATAGGTCGTAGTTTGCCAATCCCAGTGAACGTCATGGAAGGATTCTGAACTTCATCCCAAGAGCAACATGGAGGCTGGATGTGGTTGTGTGTGTGCCTAGAGTCTCAACTACTCAGAAGGCCGAGTGGGGGGATCATTTGAACCCAAGAGTTTGAGGCCAACCTAGGCAACATAGTGAGGCCCTGTCTTAAAAAAAGAAGAAGGCTGGGCATGGTGGCTTACGTGTGAAATCCCAGTACTTTGGGAGGCCGAGATGGGAGGATTGCTTGAGGCCAGGAGTTTGAGACCCACCTGGTCAACATAGCAAGACCCCATCTCTATATTTAAAAAAAAATTATAGGAAGAAGAAGAAAAGAGCAAAGTGGAGCCATGAGAAGCTTTGAAGCAGGGAGTCAGGGGAGGCAGGTTTACATTTTAAATGGCCCTGAAAGAGCTAATCCCTCAGCAGGGCCCCCCATTTCTTCTGTTCCACTTGTTGATCCTTGGACTTGTTTGTCTTCAAGAAGAGCCTTGGCTTGGGACTGCAGGGCCTTTGATACACAGACAGTTTCAGAAGCAGGGGTCACTGCGGTCCATTTCCCATTACCCTCTTCCCCAAATCAGCTCTCAGCTCAGGTCTGGACATGACAGAAATCCAGAAATGCTGGTTCCCATTCCTGGCCCTAGGGCACAGTAGAACAGTCCACTGGCCACCAGCCTGGGCTTTGAAATCAGAGAGGACTGGTGTCAAATCCCTGCTCCTTAATTTGGCCATGTATGACCAAACTACACCTTCCTGACACTCTATCTCTTCTCCTGCATAAGGGGAATAATTATAAACATGAACTCATGAAAGAAAGTGGTTCTGAATTGACCTAGGTGCAAATGATAGGCTTGGTAAGAAAACATTATTTTAATTAATTTATTTATTTAGAGACAGAGTCTTGCTCTGTCACCCACACTGAAGTGCAGTGGTGCAATCTCAGCTCACTGCAACTTCCACCTCCTGGATGCAAGCGATTCTCCTGCCTCAGCCTCCGGAGTAGCTAGGATTACAGGCATGCACCACCACGCCTGACTAATTTTTGTGTTTTTTGCAGAGACAGGGTTTCACCATGTTGGCCAGGTTGGTCTTGCGCTCAAGTGATCTATATGCCTTGGCCTGCCAAAGTGCTGGGATTACAGGCATGAGCCACTGTGCCTGGCCAGAAAACATTATTAACATAAGAATCATTTTCTTACTGAACTCCAGAGGCAGGAAGCCTGGTCGTGCACTGAGTGGCGAGGACTTTGCTCCGGTGACTGGATACAGAGCCAGGCCTTGGCCTCCCGGCTACATTGGAAGTAGCACTGCTGGGGCAGCCTCGGCTCATGAGTATTACAGGCTTCCTAGAAATGGGAATGATTTGTCCCACCTCTTGGGCTGAAAATAACTGCCCAACATCAGGGTAATTACATGGCTTGTATTCCTGCAGAGCACAGAGAACACCCCAATAATTGCTGTGCACAAACACTGCTTTTGCCAACGGATGCTTATTTCCTGCCTCAAAGAGTATCTCCTGGACAGGAAGCTTATTCTGCCACCCATCCCATGGGATTTGAACCTCTAGCTAATTCGAGCAGAACCATCCAGAATTCCATCCTAGTCAGGGACATAGTGGCCACTGCTCCTCTCCCAAAAGCCATCTGTCAGGCTCAGGACACCCCCACTCACCCTTGGGCAGCCTTGGTGATCAATGGCTTTCTCCTAACCTCCTACATGGTCCCAAGGCTAACACCAGGCACTGGGTCTGGAGGAGACACCTGTGAGCAGAGAGCTGCCCGCTACAGACATGAGTTTCTGGAGTCAGCCCTTGAGGGTGACCTGCTTTGCTCAGAGATGAAGAGCCTTTGTCCTTGGACTCAATTAGAGGGCTGCCAATTGGGTCAAGGTCCTAGAGGAGTTCTTGAGGACTTTACTGTGTACCAGGCTTTAGGGATACAGCCATAAGTACCAGATCACTGTCCTGTCCTCATGGGGCTTAGTGCCCAATGGGCAGATAGACCCAAAGCCCATAATTAAATAGTTATGTAATTGTAGTTGTTAAAAGGATGTAAATGAGATGTATAAGAGCTATGGGTATATATGACAGGAGTCTGGGGAGTTTCAGCTGAGACCTAAAGGATGAGGAGTGGGGCAGGTTCTGGCGTGTGTGTGTGTGTGTGTGTGTGTGTGTGTGTGTTAGAGGTGGATGCATGGATGATGGTGGTTGGTTGGATGGGTGGATTGGTAGATGGATGGATAGCTACACTGATGGATGGATGATGGTAAGTAGATGGATGAATGGATGCTGGTGGATGGATGGATGAATGATTGAGTCTTCCAGGCAATGGGAACAGACTATGCAAAATCTCAGAGGCCGGAAGAAGCGTTTTGACTCTGTAGCTGACAAAAGACTATTGTGCAGAGTGTCTGGAGTTTAAGAAATGAGAATGGAGAGGTAAGCAGGTAGGAAGATTGTGCACAGCTAAGTAAGTTGGGTACTGGACAGATGCCAGTCTTATAAACCATGATGCAGATGGTGCCCACTAGAGTTGTGCAAGCTGGAGGCCAGCAGGCAGGGCTCTCATCATGCAAGAACTTGTATGCCATAGGAAGAGTTTTGGCCTTTACTCCCAGAGCAGCGGGGAGCCATGGAAGGATTTTAATGACTTGTGATAGAGCTAACTTTGATTTATAATGCCTCAAAGCAGCACTGTCCAATAGAACTTTCCAGGAATATAAAAATGTTCTATTTCTACACTTTCCAATATGGTAGCCACCAATCACTTGGGAACTGAGCACAGCATGCCTGAGAAAATGAATTTTGAATGTTAATTCATTTAAGCAGCCATAATAGCCAGATGTAGCTAGTGGCACCATGTTGGTCAGCACAGTGCCAAGGGATCTGGACCTTACTGGACAAGGTCTTGTCGTGCTTAACCCCTACCAGCTATGCATACTGGGCAGGTCTGCTAGAGATGCCACCTCTTGCTGGGTGGTGGCCTCAACCTCCCCTTCACACAGATCCTCGGTCTACACTGAAGCCTTGAGTGCAACTGGGGCTGTAGTTTGGGAGCTGGGCTTCATGGGCATGGTGCTGAGGGGGTTACCCCCACCCTATCCACTGCTCCTGAGCCCTTGAGGACTCTTCTCTTGCCTACCAGCGTCTTTTTTCCCTGGGGTTGGTGACTGGGCTTTTTGTTCTGCCGAATGAATAGGCTTCTCCTGACCCTGCCCAGCTCACTTCTAACTTGTTTCCCTACAGCAGAGGCAAATCAATGAGGAAACCACCTCAGCCCTGCCCTATGGCATGAAACAGTATGTGGAGATAGCGTCCACGGTGGACACTAGGCGGTGTGGGCTTTGGCTTCTGTTTCACAAGGTTTCTGGTCGGGGGTGGGAGGAGGCACAGAGGGGTCAGCGCCAGCCTACATCTCCTATCTGCTGCGCCTGGGCCTCCACGCCTGGCTTCATCAGCACGATGGCACACACACACAAGGCAGCCTGTGTATTCATGTTCTTCCTCTTGCCCCCATAAACAGCCACCCTCTGTTCACCCCTCTGGCCTAGACATCTGCTTGCCCAGTAACTGCACAGTCTACCTTTGGGAGGCTGGATCCAGGGAGGATCCTGCCGAGGCCCTGCAAGCAGGCTTGGAGCCATTTGGACAGGACAGTAGAGGTGTGGCCTGGAAGGGGAACCAGGGGCTTGGGTGGACTCATTCCACTGGACCCCTGGACTCTTCATCCATAGGGAGAGGGAAAGCTGGAGGGCCTGAGATCACCCTGCTAAAGTAGAGGAGGGGTGCAAGTTGCCAAGCCTGGGAAGGGGCCTGCAGGGCTCCTGGGCGAGCTCCTCTCTTCTTTGTTTGTACTTGGGTTCAGGAGAGAATTAGGGCCTGAATGGTGGCAGGCAGAGGAGGAAGAAGGAGGGTCACAGTGATAAGGGGACGAGGCTTATCCTAAGCAAGAGGGATTCCGGGATTTCAATGCTGTTCACTCTGGCCTCCCTGCCCACCCAGAATCCCTGAAACACACACACACACACACACACACACACACACACACACACACACACACACAAACTAGACAAAAGTCTAGGGATTGGGGATGGTTAAAACCTTACTACCTTCCTTCCCTGGGGCCCAGTAGGGTCAAAGAACGGGCATTTGAAACCCATAGGTGTAAAATCACCTGCTATGGGGAACCACAGTTTTAATAAAAATCATGACCGCTGCCAGAGCAGGAGTTCACCTTCAAAGCACATGCTGAGCCCCTGGCATGGCTCACCTCGAAGACCATTCACACTGCCGCTGTGAAGAGGATGGACATCATCCCTATTTTACAGTTGGGAAAACTGAGGCACAGAGAAGGAAGTGTCTTGGCTGACATTGCACAGCCAATGAGAATGGTGCTCAAATTTCAACCTCCAGGGTGTATGCTTTCAATGACTTCAATGTGCACCTCTGGACAACAATGTAAATTGATTAGCTCAGTGCCTGGCATACAAGCAGTGCTCAATAATTGTTAGCTCTTATTATTGTTGTCTATAATAAGACAGGCAGTGGGATCCACCTCTTGGAAATCCTGGACCAAAGACCTATGTTCTGGGCCTCAGTTGTCTCATCTGTAAACTGGGGAGGTGTTACTGCTTTGCTCATGGGCCTGCAGGGAGAGTGGGTGTTATCCGGGCCCCTGCATGCCTGCACACCAGTGTGCAACAGGAAGCTCACTCCTGTACCCTCCTATTGCAGTACGCTACTTCCTGAAGAACAAGGTCAGCCCTGATTTGTGCAACGAGGACGGACTCACAGCCCTACACCAGGTAAGGCCAGGCTTGTTGGGGTTCTCAGGCTCCTTGCTCCTCACCTGGGTGGGTACCCTGTTTATCGCCACTTTCCTGCTCAGAACCCTCAGAGAAGAGGGAATGAGGGAGGGAGGAGGAGCCCGCAGCTGGCCGGTCTGAAAGGCTCTTGTCTACTTTGGAGACATGCGTGTCTGTCACAGCCACGCCACAGAGCCCTGTGTGTGTGCAGATGCGCCTGCACATGCAAGCTCTGGGGACAGGGAGACTTTGTTCACTGCATCCCTACTGCCCATCAAAGCAAGTGTGTTTGGAGCTTGACAGTGTACGAAGCACATTCACTCTCATCAGGAGATCCCATCCACCCTGGAGACAGAGGCAATTGGTGGGACTTATGTGACCTGCCGAAAGTCACATGGTCTTGATCTATGGCCTTGAGCCATGTGCTATCATGACATGTCCTTTCCAAGGCAGAGCAATGGGTCCAGCCCTTCCTGCTGGGGACAGCTGCTCTGGCTGTCACCTTTCACGTAGATGCTGCTACAGCCTTGTAACTGGTCCCCAGCATTCAGTCTGACTCTGCCATAATTCTCTCTCCACCTAGCAGCCGTGGGCATGCTGAAGCCAAAAATCTCATGTTACTCAAAGTTCTCTGGTGTCTTCCCATAACGTGGGGGATAAAGAACAATCTCTGCCATGGTGCACAAGGCCCCACGAGGCTGGGCCCCTGCCCTATCTTCTAAGCTTCCTGGCTCTCCAGGTTCCAGCTACCCAACTTCTCAGGTCCTTGTACCCACTGGGCTCCTTCCCACCACATTTCCTACAGCACTCGGTACTTTTACCCATTAGCTCCCGTCCACAGCAAGAGACTGGGAGCTGTGCTGTGATTGACATGCCCTTTGTCTTCTGAAAGCCCCCTTCCTTTGTAATTAGTCATTTTAGCCCATGATGTCCTCACTGGATGTTGACTTCTCCCCTACTCAAACCGAGCTGTCCGGTTTGGCACAGCCCATGCCTCTTGCTTGTGAGTGTGTTCTAGCATCTTTCCCCATGCTGGCATACAGTAGGTGCTCAATATGTCCATGCTGAATTAATGCATGAACACACCGAAGCCTCCCTGTGCCCAAGTCTCTTGATGGACTTGAGTGAGAGGCCAGGTAGCCAGAACCCTGGGGGGTTGGGAGAGCCTCTCCACCTGCATACAAGGGCAGGGGTGGGATGGACAGGGAGGGGCCATGCCCTGCCCACAGCCCCAGGGACAGGTCCCTGCGTGCCCTCTTGGCTGCTCTCTCATAGGGCCTCAGGCATCTACTCTCAGGCAGCTGCCTCAGTACCCCCACTCCATCTGCTCTTGAAAACTCCTAGACTCCCAGCTCTATGAACTCTAGAGGGCCTAGGATTCCACCAGGGAGTGGAAAGCAGGTGGCTGCTGTAGCTTGCCCTGAAATGGAGACCCAAATGCCAATTCCTGAGGCTAGGCAACACCCACCAGCCATGGGCATGAGGATCAAATGCGTGGGCTATTTCCTACCATATGCCAGAAAGGTGAGGACATCAGGAGAGAGAATCAGACTTGTGGCCTGGAGCTATGTGGCAAGTTACTTAAGCTCTCTGTGCCTCAGTTTTCTCATCTCTAGGAGGAATAACAAGTACCCATCTCATTAGGTGGTTGTGAGGATGAAATGAACACATATAAAACCCCTTTAAGCAGCACTCAATACTGGATGAATAATCGTTATTATTATTAAAATGTATCATGTAACCACTTCTCTGCAAAGTACTTCACTTGTTTATTTCATTCTGATCCTCACAACAGACCTTAGAAATATTATCATCCCCAGGCCAGGTGCCAGTGGCTCATGCCTGTAATCCCAGCACTTTGGGAGGCCGAGGAGGGCGAATCACCTGAGGTCAGGAGTTCAAGACCAGCCTGGCCAACGTGGTGAAACCCTGTCTCTACTAAAAATACAAAAATTAGCCAGATGTGGTGGCGGGAGTCTGTAATCCCAGCTACTAGGAAGGCTGAGGTAGGGAGAATTGCTTGAACCCTACCTCAAGGGAGGCAGAGGTTGCAGTGAGCCAAGATTGCACCACTGCCCCCTAGCCTGGGCAACTGAGTGAGACTCCTCACCAAAAAAAAAAAAAAAAAAAAAAAAATTATCATCCCCATTTTATGACTCGGGACACTGAGGCAGCCTATTCAGTGGAACTTTCCACAATGATGGAAATGCCCTTTTTCCACAGTGTACACTACGAGAGCTGCCAGCCACATGCGGATCTATAGCACTCAAAATGTAGCTGATGTGACTGAAGAAATAGATTTTGAATTTTATTTAATTTTATTGAATTTAAAGAAACAGTGGCTGTTTTATTATACTTAATAATATAATTAAGGGGAGGTGAAATCTCCATGCCAAGGTCAAACGTTGATTGAGTGTGGAAACCAGGATTTGAAACAAGATAGTCTTCACTGCTTTGTGGACACCACAGCTGCCCCTCTCTGAGCCCCAGGTTCTGCCTCAAGTTGTCATCCTGCGGCAATGAACTCTCCAGTGGCGCTGTATTTTTAGCTTGGGGTTCCCGCCACCTCACATAGTGCCTCAGCTTCTGCGGTGTCACGTTGCTTTCTTTCCCTCCCCTCCCCTCCCCCCTCCTCCCCCTCCCCTCCTCCCCCTCTTTCCCCTCCTCCCCCTTTCCCCTCCTCCCCCTCTTTCCCCTCCTCCCCCTTCTTCCCCTCCCCTCCCCCCCTCCTCTTTTCTTTTCTTTTCTTTTTTGAGACAGAGTCTTGCTCTGTCGCCCAGGCTGGAGTCCAATGATGCAATCTTGGCTCACTGTAAACTCTGCCTCCTGGGTTCAAGCGATTCTCCTGCCTCAGCCTCCTGAGTAGCTGGGATTACAGGTGTGCACCACTGCGCCCAGCTAATTTTTGTATTTTTAGTAGAGACGAGGGTTTCAGTATGTTGGCCAGGCCGGTCTTGAACTCCTGACCTTGTGATCCATCTGCCTCGGCCTCCCAAAGTGCTAGGATTACAGGTGTGACCCACCACACCTGGCTGGTCACCTTGCTTTCTCAGGACCAGTTTCTCCTGTGGGTTCCTGGGCCCCTGGGGGATGCATGGTCAGGGAGGTGGGAACTCACCAGGCTCCAAATTTAGCTGCACGAAGCTCATGGCTGACCAGCTAAAACCCACACCCCATCCCAACCACCCCACTTGCCTTGGGCCCCATCTTGAGATCCCTTTCAGGGAGACATCACCCTCATCAGCCTGTGGGCTTCCATTCATTCTTTCAACAAATACCTATTGTGTGCCTACTCCATGCCAGGTATCTGCTAGGGACAGGGCTCCAGAAATAAGTTAGGCAGAGTCCCTGCTCTCAGAGTCCAGAGTGTGCTGTGACCACAGGCACATAAATAATAATAGAGGTAATGCAGTGTGGTCAGGCTCACACAGAGATAGGCAGGGGCTCAGTGGCAGCTTAAAGCTGGGAACCCATGACTTGACTCAAAGGGAAACTAGAAAGGCTTCTAAGAGGAAGGGATATCTGAACTGGGTCTTAAAGGATGAGTAGGAGCTTGCTAGCTAGAAATAAGGAAGAACATTCAAGGCTGAGGGAACAGCATGTGCAAAGTGTTGAGACAGGGGCTCAGCATTTTAAGTGTGAAGTCTGGAGGGTTCCATGTGGCTCAGGGAGCCTCAGGAAGATGTGCCCGTGTGAGACTGAGAAGGTTTAGAACAGGGCCTTTGTTATTTTATTTTATTTTTTTGAGATGGAGTTTTTGCCCTTGTTGCCCAGGCTGGAGCACAATGGTGCCATCTCAGCTCACTGTAACCTCTGCTTCCCTGGTTCAAGCGATTTTCCTGCCTCATTCTGCCGAGTAGCTGGGATTACATGCCCGGCTGATTTTGTATTTTTAGTAAAGATGGGATTTCTCCACATTGGTCAGGCTGGTCTTGAACTTCTGACCCCAGGTGATCCTCCTGCCTCGTCCTCCCAAAGTGCTGGGGTTACAGGTGGGAGCCACTGCACCCGGCTAAGAACAGGGCCTTTGGAGTCAGACTGCTTAGATTTCAGTTCATCTCTTACTCCATGTGACCTTGTGCAACCAGGCCACCTTGAGCCAGTTTCCCCATCTATAAAAGGGGCAATTTCCCCATTTATAAAAGGGGCAATTCTCCTAGGCTTGTTTTGAGGATTAAATGAGGCAATGCATGGCCAAAGCTTAGCAAGCTGCTTGACTCTTGTAAGTCCTCAAAAAGCATTAGATATTGTTACTGCCAGTGTGATGCAACACGTTATTATTACTGTTACTGCCGGCGCTGTTGTTATTGTTACTACTGCTGTTGTCACTGTTGCTGCAGTGCAACAAAGGAGATGGGGGCACATTAAGAAGAGCGTCCCATGCCTGGCAAGGGAGTGTGGGTTTTCTTCTCTTGGCAACAGGGAGCCCTCAGATGTTTGCAAAGGGAGAACAACATGATTAGATTCATGGAGACGCTCTCTCTGGCCAAGGGTGTTAGGAAGGGGAGAACAGGGAGGTAGAGAGAGATGATGAAATGTCATCCAGGGCAGAGGGTGGGGACAGTGATTTAGGAGACATGCAGTTCATACCTGGTGAGGGATTGAAGGTGGGAAGGGAGGAGGTGGGAGGAGGCAGCCTACTGCCAGATACTATTTCCCACCTCAGCCACCGCAGAGGGGGAGGCCCGCCTACCCCCCCCACCTTCCCCTATCCCACCAACTCCATGTGCACCCCCACACCCAGCCCTCAACGCAGGCAGCCTTTTAGGCAGGGTCTCCCAGGAGTGGACTGGCCCAGCCCCTGGACATGTGTCTCACAAGACTCTGCCATTCTGGGTGCACAGTTCCCTTCTCTTTCAACCTGAGGCTTTCACTCCACCCCCTATGTTTCCTGCAGTCTACAGGGGTTGGATTTCTGTCCGCCTTGCCCCTGACCCCAGAGGCATCTCCCAATGATGGCCTGGAGATGCTGACCTTTCACTGCAGCCTTGCTTCGTTGCCTTTGGCACCCTCTGCCGGCCGCGCCGTGCTGCTGCGCGATTCTGTCACCCACCTAAGGCAGCGCCGCCCACCCCGCTACAGGGTCACTTCTTTCCCTGGCTGTTCGGAGAGATGTGCTCAGACCTAGCCACCGTCTCACCGCCCCCCGCCCAGCAAAGACTGGCTGGCGCAGAAAGAACCTGGGTCTCTGGCGCCATCTGTGCCAACGGCTGCTCCTTTCCCACATGTCCTGGCGCTGAGCCCTGGCTTCCCTGGGGATAGGGGTGGGGCTGTGATGCCCTCCCATCCCACGCCTACACCTACGCCCACACCCACCTGGGGCCATGGGCTTCCGCAGCTGCTCCTGCTCCTTCTGGCATCTGGACTCTCATCTCTATCCCTGTGGTCGCTTCTGGAGGCCAGACCACCATCATCTCTTCACTGGGTGACTTCGACACAGCTCCTCACTGTCCCCTCCCAGCGTGCACACATGTGCGTGGGTGTGCCCGCACACACACAGTCTGTTCTCCACGTGCAATCAGAGGAGCAGTTGTTTTTAAAAAGTGAGTCTGATCATGCTCCCCTTCTGAGTGTAACTCAGTGTCTCCCACTGCACTGAGGACCAAGCCCCAAGCCCTATCCAGATGGGCAGGGCTGAGCCTATGAGCCCCGCCATGTCCCCTGCTGGCTTCTGCAGAAGTCACCTCTAGGGAAGAGTTTCCATCTGCAGTCTGTAAAGTGGCTGCTTCTTTCTCCTCTCTCCTGGCCTCTGCTATCCCGGGACCTAGCTCAACACCCCTCTGTCTCCTTGGGATCTTTTACTCCCTGTCCCTGGAGTCTGGGGGCCACCTGTGTTGGAGCCCTGCGTTCTCTCTAGGAGGCTGCAGGCTGCTGACCCTTCCCCCTCATTGAGGGTGCCCCACGTGCAATCACTGCAGCAGAAAGCCAGGAACATAAACATGGTGGTCTCCTCCTAGGGACTGTCAGGACCCCCTAGCACTCGCACGTGGAGCTGGATTCTTTTGGGGCGAGTCTTGGTTACTTGAAGGCTTCCCCAAGATCTGAGCTACTGGGTCAGAGGTTCCTAAGTCAGAGGTTTCAAGCTATGTTCTTGAAACCACTTTGGAGGCTACTGCCTGAAAGTTACCCTCCAACACACACGCCTGCCTCAACCCAAGCAATCCTGCTTGAATTTATTGGCCATCTAAGTGAGAATTCTCCATACAATTTTGTTTGGAGAAAGCCCTTCTGGGATTAAAAAAAAAGTTTTAAAACCTCATTCAAAATTTTGTCCCATTTCACTGACACTTGCAAAGCACTTTATAGCTGACAGAGCGTTTTTTTACCTGTATGTTTTTATCTTATATATTATTAACTTCATTTTTACTCACAAGGGAACTGAGTCCCAGAGAGGTTAAGTGGCTTGGCCACGGTCAAGGGCAGTACTCACAGTGTGAGCATCATGGAACTGGATTCAAACTCAGGCTTCCGCAGTCCTCCTCACGGCCTCTTGCGGGGAACCTGGCAGGTCTGGACCAGGGCCCAGGGCTTTGCCTGGAGCTGACTCTGCCTGTGTGTCCCTCCCAGTGCTGCATCGACAACTTTGAAGAAATTGTCAAGCTGCTCCTCTCCCATGGTGCCAACGTGAATGCCAAGGACAACGAGCTGTGGACACCCCTGCATGCTGCAGCCACCTGCGGCCACATCAACCTGGTGAAGATCCTCGTTCAGTAGTACGTACTGCCCCCTCACCCCCACCCCAGAGTAGACTCCTCTCCACCTCTTGTCTTTTTCCAACTTCCTTCTTTCTCCCCTCCCTCCGTTTCTTCTTTCTTCCCTCCCTTCCTCCCTTCCTTCTTTCTTCCTCCCTCCTTCTCTCCCTTCTCCCCTCCCTCCCTTTCTTCTTTCATCTTTCCCTTCCTTCTTTCTTTCCTCCCTCCCTTTCTTCTTTCTTCCCTCCATTCCTCCCTTCCTTCTTTTTTTTTTTCTGAGACGGAGTTTCACTCTTGTTACCCAGGCTGGAGTGCGATGGCGCGATCTCGGCTCACCGCAACCTCTGTCTCCTGGGTTCAGGCAATTCTCCTACCTCAGCCTCCTGAGTAGCTGGGATTACAGGCACGTGCCACCATGCCCAGCTAATTTTTTGTATTTTTAGTAGAGACGGGGTTTCACCATGTTGACCAGGATGGTCTCGATCTCTTGACCTCGTGATCCACCTGCCTCAGCCTCCCAAAGTGCTGGTATTACAGGTGTGAGCCACCGCACCCGGCCCTCCTCCTGTCCTTCTTTCTTCCCTTCCTCCCTTCCTTTGTTCTTTCTTTCTCCTTCCTTCTTTCTTCCCTCCCTTTCTCCTTTCTTCCCTCCCTCCTTTTCTTTCTTCCCTCCTTTCCTCCCTTTTTCTTCCCTCCCTGCCTCCTTTCCTTTTTCTTCCTCCCTCCTTTCCTTTTTTCTTTTCTCCCTTCCTCCTTTCCTTCTTTCTTCCCTCCCTTCTTTCCTTTTCTCTTTTCTCCCTTCCTCCCTTTATTTCTTTCTGTCCTTCTTCCCTTCCTTCTCCTTTCCTTCTTTCTTCCCTTCATCTCTCCCTCCCTTTCTTTTCCCTCCCTGTCTCCCTCCCTCTCTCCCTCCCCTCTTTTCTTCTTTCTTCCCTTCCTCCTTCCCTACTTTTCTGCTTTTCCTCCTTCTACTCTCTTCCCTTTTCTTCTCTCTCTCTCTCTCACTCTTAGTCTGTTTTGGTGCTTGTCACTTTCTTTCTCCCCACATCCTCTCTTGATCTCTCTTTCTCTCTCTCTGTTTCTACCTCTCACCCTCTCCTCCCCTCAATTCCCCTTGACTCTTCCCCATCTCTGTGTGCCTGGATTTTCTTTTTCCATCTTTGTCTCTTCTTTACTCTTGGGCTGTCTCTGTATTTTCCACTGTCTCTATTTTCTCTCTTCTCCCTTCATTCTCTTTCCCCCCCAATTTTTTTTTTTTTTTTTGAGATGGAGTCTCACTCTGTCATTTAGACTGGAGTGCAGTGGCATGATCTCGGCTGGCTGCAACCTCCGCCTCCTGGGTTCAAGAGATTCTCCTGCCTCAGCCTCCTGAGTAGCTGGTATTATAGGCATACACCACCATGCCTGGCTAATTTTTGTATTTTTTAGTAGAGACGGAGTTTCACCATATTGGACAGGCTGATCTCGAACTCCTGACCTCTTGATCCATGTGCCTCAGCCTCCCAACTCCCAATTTTCTATAGTGATAAAATACATATAAAATACCATTGTACCTGTTTTAAGTGTGCAGGTTAGTGGTATTAAGTCCATTTGTATTATTGTGCAGCCATCACCACCCTCCATCTTCAGAATGACTTGTGTCTTGCAAAACTGAAACTCTGTACCCATTAAACAGTAATTCCCACTCCCTGCCCACCCCTGGCTCCTGGCGACCACCATTCTACTTTCTGTCTCATGAGTTCGACTACTGTAAGCACTTTACAGTAGTGGATTCGGCTGGGTGCAGTGGCTCATGCTTGTAATCCCAGCACTTTGGGAGGCCAAGGCAGGTGGATCACCTGAGGTCAGGAGTTCGAGACCAGACTAACTAGCCTGGTGAAACCCCGTCTCTACTAAAAACACAAAAATTAGCTGGGTGTGGTGGTGGGTGCGTATAATCCCAGTTACTCTGTAGGCTGACGCAGGATAATCACTTGAGCCCAGGAAATTGAGGTTGCAGTGAGCCGAGATTGTACCCCTGCACTCCAGCCTGGGCAACAGAGCAAGACTCTGTCTCAAAAAAAGAAGTGGATTCATACAGTGTTTGTATTTTTTTGACTGGCATATTTCACTTAGCATAATGTCCTCAAGGTTCATCCATATTGTAGTGTGTGTCAGAGTTTCCTTCCTTTTTAAGGCTGAATGTATTCCACTGTATGTCTAGACCATGTTTTGCTTGTGCATCCATTGGCTGGACACTTGACTTGCCTCCATATTTTACCTATTGTGAATCATGCTGTGATGAACATGAAACCCTGCTTTCAATTTCTTTTGGTTATATACCGAGAAGTGGAATTGCTGGATTGTATGGTAATGCTATTTTTAATTTTTTTGTTTGTTTGTTTTTGAGACGGAGTTTTGCTCTGGTTACCCAGGCTGGAGCGCAATGGCGCGATCTTGGCTCATCGCAACCTCCGCCTCCTGGGTTCAGGCAATTCTCCTGCCTCAGCCTCCTGAGTAGCTAGGATTACAGGGACACGCCACCATGCCCAGCTAATTTTTTGTATTTTTAGTAGAGACGGGGTTTCACCATGTTGACCACGATGGCCTTGATCTCTTGACCTCATGATCCACCTGCCTCGGTCTCCCAAAGTGCTGGGATTACAGGCTTGAGCCACCGCGCCCGGCCTATTTTTAATTTTTAAAGAAACTGCTATAGTCTTTGCCACAACATTTTATATTCCCAGCAACAGTACACAAGGGTTCTAGTTTCTCCACATCCTCGCCAACACTTGTTATTTTCTGCTTTTTCTTTGTTGTTAGTAGCCATACTAGTAGGTGTGAGGTGGTCTCTCACTGTGGTTTTGATTTGCATTTTTCTAATGCTGAGTGATGTTGAGCATCTTTTTATGTGCCCGTTGTCCATTTGTATATCTTCTTTGGAGAAATGTCTATTCAAGTGCTGTGTCCATGTTTGAATTGGGTTGGATTTTTGTCATTGAATTTTAGGATTTCTCTGTGTGTTCTGCATATGAATCCCTTATTGGATGGATGTAATGTTTTCTCCTCTTCTATGGGTTATCTTTTTAACTCTATTGCTTGTGGCCTTTGCTGCACACAATTTTTAATTTTCACAAAGTCCAATTTATCTACTTTTTCTTTTGTTGCATGTGCCATTGATGTCATATCCAAGAAGTCACCACCAAATCCAATGCCATGGAGCTTCTGTTCTGTGTTTTCTCCTTAGAGTTTTATAGTTTTAGCTCTTTCATTTAGGTTGTGGATGCAGTTTGAATTAAATCTTATATATGGTGTTGGGTAAGGCTCTAACTTCATTTTTTTACATGTGGATATCCAATTTTTCTATATGATCTGTTGGAAAGATGGTTGGTCTTTTCTCCATTGAATGACCTTGGTACCCTGTCTATTTATTTTAATTATTTATTTAGAGATAGAGTCTTGCTCTGCCACTAGGCTGGAGTGCAGTGATACGGTCTCGGCTCACCACAACCTCCACCTCCTGGTTTCAAGCGGTTTTCCTGCCTCAGCCTCCCAAGTAACTGGGACTACAGGCATGCAGCACCACGCCCAGCTAATTTTTATATTTTTAGTAGAGACAGTTTTATGAAGTTGGCCAGGGCAGGATGGTCTTGATCTCTCAACCACGTGATCCACCTGCCTTGGCCTCCCAAAGTGCTGGGATTATAGATGTGAGCCACTGCACCCGGCCCACTATACTATTTTATTGGTCCATATATCTGTCCTTATGGCAGTCCCACACTGTTTTGATGTTATACTTTTGGAGTTCGTTTTGAAATCAGGAAGTGTGAGACTGCCATTTTTGTTCTTCTTTTTCATGGTTGTGTTGGCTATCCAGGTTCCTTGAGATTTCCTATGAATTTTAGAATAAATTATTCTAGTCTGCAAAAAACATCTCTGGAGATCCAGGTGTGGTGGCTCACACCTGTAATCCCAACACTTTGGGAGGCTGAGGTGGGCAGATCACTTGAGGTCAGGAGTTTGAGACCAGCATAGTTAACATGGTGAAACACCATCTCTACTAAAAATACAAAAATTAGCTGGGTATGGTGGTACATGCCTGTAATCCAAGCTACTCAGGAGACTGAGGCAAGAGAATTGCTTAAACCTGGGAGGTGGAGGTTGCAGTGAGCTGAGATCGAGCCACTAGGTACCAGCCTGGGTGATGGAGCAAGATCCTGTCTCAAAAACAACAATAACAACAAAAATCATTGTGATTTTTAAAAGTAATTGCAAGAACTACAGTTACTTTTGCAGCAACATAAATAATAACTGGTATCACCCAGAGCTGGCACTGGGCACATAGGGATGCGGAAGTCCTGGGAAGTCAGGGAGAAAGCCAGGGGGTTTAAGTACCAGAGTTGAGACAGAGCCAGACCAAGAGCATCTGAGGGCAGGGAGTCGAAGAGAGTGGCTGAGGGCAGGTAACCTTTTGCACAGGTCTTGGTAGAGTAGCAGGAGCCCATCAGTGGCTCCCAGTGGGGATGGAGATGAGAGTACTGCTGCTCCACCTGCATAAACTTGCTCCGGGGTATACAGAGCTCAGAGAGGCCACAGTGAAGGGCTGTGAGACCAAAGGTCTGGATGGTGGCCCATGCCAACATCTCTGATGGGAGCCTGAGTATGTTGAAGTCTGCTAGGAGCATCAGGTAGCCACAGCCTGATCAGTGATGGTGCCAAGAGGACAAGGAAAGTGGTGCCAGCCTGGGTCAGTGGGTCCCAAAGCTTATGGATATTACAGTCACCTGGGGCATGGGCTTAAAATACAGATTCCCATGCCCTACCCCAAGGACTCTTTCAAGAAGGCTGGAGTAAAGCCCACCCAAGATGCTGCATTTTATTCCCATGGTCCCCAGGTAATTCTGCCACATTGCATCCGGGGCCATTCTTGGGAACCGCTGGCCCAAAGGTCAAATGCCGCCAGAGAGTCCCAAGTCTCTGCTTCACCTCTGTCCTATTCAGCCTTTTGGGCAAGGACTTGGAGGTGGTGGAATATAACTGAGGGTGTTTCTGCATATGGGCAATGAATGAAATAGAACATGGAGAAGTAAAAAGAGTTGATATGAGAGACCTGGGCTTGAGTCTGGACTCTATTGTATCCAAGCTCTGTATCCAAGCTGTGTGACCTTAGACAAGTGACTGAACATGGTTTGTGTTTTTTTTTTTTTTTGAAACTGAGTCTTGCTCTATCACCCAGGCTGGAGTACAGTGGCATGATCTCGGCTCACTGCAACCTTCACCTCCCAAGTTCAAGTGATTCTCATGCCTCAGCCTCCAATGTAGCTGGGATTACAGGCACCCACCATCACATCTGGCTAATTTTCTGTATTTTTAGTAGAGACAGGGCTTCACCATGTTGGCCAGGCTGGTTTCGAACTCCTGACATCAGGTGATCCACCAACCTCGGCCTCCCAAAGTGCTGGGATTACAGGTGTAAGCCACTGCGCCCAGCCATATCTGAGCCTTTGTTTCCCCTTGTGTGAGATGGGACCACCAATATTAACCTGAGCTATTATGAGGGTTAAATAAAAGGATGCCTGCAAAAGGAGCTCAGACCAGGCTTGGCTCTAAGCAGGTGCCTAGTAAGTGGTGCTGCTGCCATTAATGTAATTTTTATTATTGTCACCAGGGAGGAGTTTTATATCTGTCCCTAAGTCCCTGCCTGCTGGTTCAACAGGGTGAAAGACTTAGGGACGTCCCCTAGGATAGCTGTCCTGGGACTTTGGTCCCTTCCCACCTGGGGCCCTGAGATCCTGAGCTGCCTTGCTCTTGGACTGTGTGTCGGGCAGATCCAAGCATCACCTTCCCAGGGTACACCATGGTGGGGTTCTGAGTGCCGGGATGTACAGTAGAATTGCAGGTGAGAGGCCAGAGGGCAGAAGCAGCCAGACCAACCCTAGCCACACCTACCTGGCCCTCACCCTGTCTCTTTCTCTGCAGTGGGGCCGACTTGCTTGCTGTCAACTCAGATGGGAACATGCCATATGACCTCTGCGAGGATGAACCCACCCTGGATGTCATCGAGACCTGCATGGCATACCAGGGTAAGGGAGGGCAGCCTGCTATGAAGTAAGAACAGTACAGAGTTGTGGGGATTAGCCCTTAAATCAACGCATGTGAACAGATTAGCTCCGCATTGGCCTGCCTTGTGTGCCGCACTCGGTGAATAGGATGGGTCTTCATTAGTATCCTTATGTATGTGATTATTAAGGATTAGCGTCCTTATTAGTATTATTAAGAATTAATATCCTTATCCATGTGATTAGAGCAGGACATGAGAGGACCTTGGAAAACGTGCTTCACAGAAGGGAGGCATTGATCTCATCCATGCCCACACACGTGGGTGACCACAGCTGGCCTTGTCTCCTCTTCGTCAGCTGTGACAATTTGATTCAATAAATGTTCACCGTAAAGATATATCCCCATGTGGGAAAATAATAAAGTCAAGAGCACTGGCGGGTGCCTGCTCTGTCCCTGGCACCATGCTGGCTGCCAGGGGCCCAGATAAACAAGATGTGGGCTGTTCTCAACTCACAAATGAGTTCAGAGAGGAAACAAATGCAGCAATGAGAGACCTGTGTGCCCCAGCACCCCACAGACAGGCCTCTGAAGCACCACCTCCTTGGAAATATGTCATACTCCCAGACCCTCAGCTGCAGCTGCCCTTCTGTTCCCCACAGAGCTGCAGTATCCATGATTGAATCTCCTGTTCCCTGAACCCAGCTCTGTCTATTCATCTCCTGCAGAGGTTCTTAACCATTTTTGTGCCAATCTGGTGACTCTATGGACCCCTTCTCAGTATGACGTTATTATGTTTTTGAGATGGAGTCTTGCCCTTTCACCCAGGCTGGAGTGCAGTGGACTGATCTTGGCTCACTGCAACCTCCACCTCCCAGGTTCAAGTGATTCTCCTGCCTCAGCCTCCCAAGTAGCTGGGATTACAGGTGCCTGCCATCATGCCCAGCTAATTTTTGTATTTTTAGAAGAGACAGGGTTTTGCCATGATGGCCAGGCTGGTCTCAAACTCCTGACCTCAGGTTATCTGCCTGCCTTGGCTTCCCAAAGTGCTGAGATTATAGGCATGAGCCCCCATGCCTGGCCTCTTCGTCAGCTGTGACAATTTGATTCAATAAATGTTCACCATAAAGATATATCCCCATGTGGGAAAATAATAAAGTCAAGAGCGCTGGTGGGTGCCTGCTCTGTGCCAGGCACCATGCTGGCTGCCAGGGGCCCAGATAAGCAAGATATGGGCTGTTCTCAACTCACAGATGAAGTTCAGAGAGGAAACAAATGCAGCAATGAGAGACCTGTGTGCCCCAACACCCCACAGACAGGCCTCTAAAGCACCACCTCCTTGGAAATATGTCACACTCCCAGACCCTCAGAATAATGTTTTTAAATGCAGTTATAACATTATAGGATTATAAAGGAAGCCAATTATATTAAAGTATAGCTACCACAATATTTTTCAGTGCGTTAAATAGAAACTTCGTTAATTCATTAAACAATAAGATAACAGGATATGAAAATAGCTATAGTATCTGTTAGTGACAAAGTCACAGGCGCTGCTAACACTACTGTGGGTTTTGCTTACATTCTAATGTTAGGGAATGCTAAATTTCATTTAAACCTTAGTCAAAATAAATGTGTGATTTTATCTCCTTTCGTAGAATTCTCCTGAATTCGACTGAAGAGTGCTTGGTCTAATGGATCTTTTTACAGAGCAAATCATCCTCTCCTTAAATACCATTAGTAGCTGTCAGTAACACACTTTTAAGACAGGGATGGGATTCAGGTTATATAATGTGTCTCTGGGCCCCCCTACCTCAATTGACTCAGCTCTCCACTTGAAAGTAATATATTCATTCATTCAGTCCTTCTGCAACTAAAATTGATTGAACATTGTGCCAGGTGCTACAGACACAATTGTGGTTAAGACGAAGGAAACTAGCAGAGACCCTGGTCAGATAGGGCAGTCAGCGGAGGCCAGTTTGGGAGATGATCTAGTCCAGGGCTGAAAGAAGGAGACAGAGGCAGCCATCTGAGCAGTTGGAGGTGTGTAGGTGGATGGTAGGGACTTCTAGGTAGAAGAACAGCACATGCAAAGCAACCGACATGAATACAGTGCCTAGTGGGTGCCAGGCAGAAATGCCATGGCTCTGTGGGCCAATGCATGGTCTGTGTCCATCAAGCCTGAGGACAATGCAGCCTATGGACATGTCTGCATGCCCCCTTGACTGGTCTACCCTAGGGAACAAGAGCCATGCCTCCCTCACCTGCCCTCTCCTCCCCCCAGGATCCTAGGCCTGAGGGTGCTATATAAATCCCCTCTTTGCCACTGCAGGCATCACCCAAGAGAAAATCAACGAGATGCGGGCAGCTCCTGAGCAGCAGATGATTGCGGACATCCACTGCATGATCGCAGCTGGCCAGGACCTTGACTGGATAGATGCCCAGGGTGCCACACTGGTGAGGAGATGGGCCAGTACCAAAACCAAGACCAACTAGGACCAACCCTGTACCCCTGGGACCTGTCTACGACCTTAGAACTCCTCAAGAATCCTTTGGGGCCACGGTTGCCCCTGGATAGGGAGGGTCAGCAGAGTAGGGCTCAGCCTCTTTGAGAACCTGGCCTCTCTCTGGCCTGTGCTTGGTGGCCCACTGGACCTGTAGTCCCAGCTACTTGGGAGACTGAGGTGCGAGGATCACTTGAGCCCAGGAGTTTGAGTTTGAGCTTGAGCTGTGATTACACCAATGCACTCTAGCCTGGGTGACAGAGCCAGACTTTGTCCTTAATAAACAAACAAACTAAAAAGAATCCTGCCACTCTCAAATGGGGCTTGGAGTTAGGAGCCTGGGTGGGGAGACTTGGCTCCCACCTATTCACCACCGGCTTTGTCTCCAAGATCCTCCTACACGCCAGGCTTCAGGTGTCCATCTTGAGCTCCTTATTTCCCTCTCCTCTAATGATGCCCTTCATTAAGGACTAGTGTCACCATTCATCCACTCACCTGTGCTTTCTTGCTTTACACTGTTCATTCCCCTGCCTTAGTGTCTCCTCTCCCACCCTAGCATCCCACTGCCTTGCCTCATCAGCTCCCCTGATATTACTACAACAGCCTCTCCTCTGGGTTCCCTGACTTCAGAGTCTGCCCACTACTCCCAGTTATTCATTTATCCATTGGTCCATCCATCCATCCATCCCACCAACCATCCATCCATCCATCCAGTCAACACACAGTCACGAGCGCCTCCTCTGTGCCACATACTTTACTAGACCTGGAGATAGAGAACAATGGGAACTTCTTCTGTCTCAAATCTGCCTGGTTAACTCTACTCATCCTTGCAGCTCGAGTGTCAGTGACTTTGGAAAACCTCTCCGGCCACTTCTCATAGGCTCTCAGAGCACACCGCAGCCTAATATTCAGGAAGTCTGCTTCTGCAGCCTCTAAATCAAAATTCAGAGCATGGCTATGGCAGCCCACCCCCCTGATGGGGCTGGGGGATGCCCCGTCCTAGGCTTAGGTTCCATGCTGGTCATAAGCACTCAACAATCTCGGGATCTCGAGCTCACTAGATAGGGCTCAGCAGTACCATCTGTCCTCACTACCCCCTCAGACCTGACCTGGCAGCCCAGGTGTGATAAGTGGGCTTTTCCCACCTGCTTCCTGAACTTTCACATCTGTTTTGTGCCCATTTCTATTACTTGGGTCCCTGCTTGGATCACCTGCTTAGCTTAGCACTCAAGAATGAGGCCAGGTAGGATGACTGAATATTTCTGTCTGAAGTCAAGGCCAGGCTGCACTAGGGCATTACCCACCCTCATTGTAGCTCCACTGGGGCTGTCACTGGGTCCTCCAGACACAGGGATCTTCTCTTCCTGAGCTGGGGCTGGCCTCAGGGTGGCTCCGCCCCCATGGGCCAGGCACATACTGAGTCTCAGGTCTTCCCAGTAAACTGGAGATCATAGTGTCTTCCTCACAGTGTTGCTGGGAGCATTAATGATATTCTGCATAAAAGTGCTTAGCAGAGTCTGTAAATTCTCAGTAGATGTTAGCTGTTATTTTTACTAGCAATGCCATTCTTCCACTCATACCTTTTCATTTCCAGCTAAGTAGTGAGGTTTGTAATGTCTGACTGGCCAGCAGGTGTCATTCTCTACAACTGGCAAACATCAGATATTTATACATCAGATAATTATGCCAATTTTCACATCATACCCTGGATTTTTAACATTGGGAAAAAAAAAAAGCCTCCACTTATCAGGGCTTCAAGCAACCTTCTCCCAGGATGAGGTGGCATCTGACCATTGGAGCTGTGTTTAGAAGGATCACTTCCTGAAGCCATGCCTTCTTTGTCCCACTGACTCTCCAGCCCCAGACCTCAGGCCCCCTAGAGTTCTGTGGCTTCCTCCCAGCCAGTCTTCTGGTGAGAGGCCATCTGGGACTCTCACCTCTGTCTCTCATCTTAGCTGGACAGTTTATGTCTTTTCGCCTTATCTCCTTCTCTCTCATTCATTCTCATGGTCATCACTTAGGGCTGTCTAAGAATGTTAATCCCTTACTGAATGTTCATTATGGGCTAAGCACTTCATGCATTTTGGGGGCAGATTGAACAAGCATGATCACTGAGGTCTGCTAGGCAGTGGCCATGACTGAAGGCCTTGAATGGGATCACAGTCCCTTATTGGATGTATTATCTATTGCTGCATAACAAACTATCCTACAATGTAGCATCTTAAAACAATCATAAATATTTATTGTCTCACATGGTTTCTGTTAGGAACAGCTTAGCTGGGTGGCTCTGGTTCGGTGGCTCCCATGATATTACAATCAAGATGTTGCAATATTGTTGAGACTATGGGACTGCAATCTCATCTGAAGGCTTGACTAGTGCTGGAGGATCCACTTACAAGGTGGCTCACTCACATGGCTGGGAAGTTAGTGCTGCATGTTGGCAGGAGGCCTCAGTTTCTCATCTCCGTAGGACCTCTCCTTGGGGCTTCTTGAGGGTCCTCACAACACAGTGGCTGCCTCCTTCTAGGGTAAGTGATCCAAGACAATGTAAAGTAGAAGCAGCAATGCCTTTTATGCCCTAGCCTCAGAAATCACACACAACCACTTCACAATATCCTATTTGTTAGAAGTGAGCCACTCATTCTGGCCCACATTCAAGATGAAAACAGTCGGGCTCCATCTTTTAAAGGAAGATGTGTCAAAGAATTTGTAGATATATTTAAAAATCACCATATTGAACCTCAGGGACCCCTTTTCCAGGGCTCAGTGCACAGTAGGGGCTCAGTAAATGCTATTGCTTAACTACATGGATGCTAAGACCACAGGGGAGAAGAACTCAGCTCTCTAACTTTCCTTCTAGGTTTATATTTCAGACTTAATAATCCTCCACAATGTGGCTGTATTTCCATCTCATTCTATTCCATTCTACTGCCCCCCAAGGATGCTGTGGTACTTGGGTGGAGGTGAGGGCTGGCTTACTTTCAATGTGGGGCTGATTCCCTAGGGAATGCTCACTTCTTTCCTCTCCTCCAGCTGCACATAGCTGGAGCCAATGGATACCTGCGGGCCGCTGAGCTCCTCCTGGACCATGGAGTGCGTGTGGATGTGAAGGACTGGGATGGCTGGGAGCCCCTGCATGCAGCTGCCTTCTGGGGACAGGTAGTTCTCACTCACAGGGCTGTAGGGAGTCTGGCACACGGTTAACCTGTTAACACCAAGTTTTTTGGGCTGGCAATTGGCTTCAAAGAACATAAGACTTCAATGTTTAAGGTGTTGACTATAACTTATATGTGGGATATGAAAACGCCTAGGGAGTTTGCAAAAACATTGGACAAGTTGTGTTGTTGTTGTTGTTGTTGTTGTTGTTTTGAGACAGAGTCTTGCTCTGTTGCCCAGGCTGGAGTGCAGTGGCGTAATCTTGGTTCACTGCAACCTCTGTCTCCTGGGTTCAAGCAATTCTCCTGCCTCAGCCTCCTGCGTAGCTAGGATTACAGGCATGCATCACCATGCACAGCTAATATATTGTATTTTTGGTAGAGATGGGGTTTTACCATGGTGGTCAGGCTGGTCTCAAACTCCTGACCTCAAGTGATCTGCCCACCTCAGCCTCCCAAAGTGCTGGGATTACCAGGCATGAGCCACCACACCCAGCCAACAAGTTGTATTCTGATAGGATGGTAATCAAATTTGCCAAATAAGAAAATTCCCAGCATTTTTGCTCTGAGTAGTTTTTGCATTTGTTTTCAGATACAAAATTCTGATTGCCACTTACACATAGTCCCTCCTTAGATATCTGCCAGCTCTAGAGTTACAGCCATCTCCTTCTGCTCCTTCTTGGTGTGGCCCAGGCATGTGGAGGAGGTGCTAAGCTCATTGTATCTGTCTGGATTCCCCCCATGGCTGTAGCATTTAGGCCTTCCCTGGAAATCAACTTTGTCCCACCATTCTGTGGGTCACATCCTAAGAGGGCTTGGGCACTCTCTCCACCTCCTAGGCTTTCTGAGCCCTGGGCAGGGGGACACATGAGCTTCTTCCTGTGTTTTCAGATGCAGATGGCAGAGCTGTTGGTATCCCATGGGGCTAGTCTCAGTGCAAGGACATCCATGGATGAGATGCCAATAGGTAAGTTCAGCACAACACCTGGCATGCACAAATAGGCAGTTATCAATTTTTTGATGGGTAAAGGGAAAAACAGATAAATATATGGTTGTATAGATTGATAGATTGGTATGTAGATAGATGGACGGATTAATGAATGGATGGTAGAATAATGGACTGATGGATGGATGGACAGATGAATGGATAGATGTATTAATGGGTGAATGGATGGATGAGGGAGGGGGTAGATAGGTAGATATTATGAGGTATGGTTGAATGGATGGGAGGATGGATGGATGGATGGATGGATGGATGGATGGATGGATAGAAAAATAAGTGGATGAGTGGGTAAAGGGTGAATCTATGAATAGATGACTCAGTCAGCAATAGGCAGATGGATGGATGGAGTGGCTAGGTAGAATAGGTGGGAGTATGTAGATTTCTCAGTATCTTTGCATAATTTATTGCTCGGGCTATATGGGATACCTGCTTGTTTCCCTCACTACTATATCAGTGAAGACTTGAGGACTCTTCTTGGAAACTATCAAAGAGGAACATGAATGCCTCGGTCATAGCTGGGAAACTTAGGAGTTGTGACTGTGCACAGAACCTGGGTTTTCCATTCTTATAATCCTCTAAGGTTTGGGTTGCAGCCCCCCTGGAACTTTGGCTGGCATTGTTTTCTTCCCTCCCTGCTTCCCCGAAAAGATGCTTAGAGTTTTCAGTGGATTGGGGTGGCAGCTCCTCTGGTTTGGAGCACCCTCTTGGGCCACAGGTCCTGGCACCATCCCCTACAACAGACTCCTCTGCCCCTTTAGACCTGTGTGAGGAGGAAGAGTTCAAGGTCCTGCTGCTGGAGCTAAAACACAAGCATGATGTGATCATGAAGTCACAGCTGAGACACAAGTCATCCCTGAGCCGGAGGACGTCCAGTGCAGGCAGCCGTGGGTGAGCCTGGGGCAGGGCAGCCAGGGGTCCCCATACATGCTTCTGCCTGTGGAGCCTGGGTGTAGCCTCCAGCACCCACTTTGTCCCCTCAGGAAGGTGGTGCGTCGAGCCAGCCTGTCGGACAGGACCAACCTATACAGGAAGGAGTATGAGGGAGAGGCCATCCTGTGGCAGCAGCGGAGTGCAGCTGAGGATCAGCGGACCTCTACCTACAATGGGGACATCAGAGAGACCAGGACAGACCAAGAGAATAAGGACCCTGTGAGTGGCCTCATGCCCTGCCCCAGTGTCAGCCACCACCTTGGGAGGAGAACAGGGCTCAGCTGACCTTGCCTCTTCAACTGAGAGCCTTCAGAGGGAAGTAGCCAGGCACTGCCCTTAAACTAGTGTATGCAGTCTGATGGTGGTGGCTACTGTAGTTAAGGAGGTGATCGGGGGGTGTATTGGAGGCTGAGCTGGGCACATTGGCACACAGGTGGGTCTCCTAATTGACAGGGGACAAGTGTCCACTATATGCCTAGTTGTTCTCCAGCAGACCTAGCAGTGAGCTTCCCAGAAAAGAGCTTCAGTAGGGCAGTCACCCAGGAGTTGAGGGTGCTACAACTTCTTTTTCAGGAAATATAACAAAATATCGAGAATTGTGTTTATCAGAACATGCTTTTTGAAAAACGGAGTAGGATCCTAGCAGGACCTCTGAGAAGCCTGCTCCTGTAGCAGCCAATGGTCCTTTAAGCTTTAAGCTGAATGCATATTCATTTCTGATGGCTGCTTTAAGAAATTATCACAAACTGGATGGCTTAAATGACAGAAATTTATTCTCTCTCACTTCTTAAGGCCAGAAGCCTAAAATCGGGGTGACACCAGGGTTTGTTCCCTGTGGGGGCTCCCAAGGGGATTCTGTTTCACGCTTCTGTGAGCTTCTGGTAGTAGCTCAGGAGTTCTTCGGCTTTTGCTTGCATGAGTCTAGTCTCTGCTTCTGTCTCCACCTGACCTTCCTCTTTGTGTATGAGTCTGTTTTCTCTTCTTTTATTATTTTTATTTTATAGGATTTTTTTGAGACAGGTTCTTGCCCTGTCACTCAGGCTGGAATGCAGTAGCATGATCATAGATCACTGAAGACTCCAACTCATGGGCTTAAGGGATCCTCCTACCTCAGCCTCCAAGTAGCTAGGACTATAGGTGGGGGCCATCACATCTGACTATTTTTTAAATTTCTTATAGAGATGAGGTCTTGTTATGTTGTGCAGGCTGGTCTCAAACTTAGCCTCAAGCAATCCTCCCACCTTGGCAGGTGTGAGCCACTGTACCTAGCCTGTTTTTTCTTCTTATAAGGACACCAGTCATTGGATTAGAGCCCATGCCAATCCAGTAGAACCTAAACTTAATTTAATTTATTACATCTGCAAATGCCTATTTCCAGATAAAGTCACATTCAGAGGTTCTAGGTAGACATTAATATTTTAGGAACACTGCTTAACCCAGAACCAACACACTCAGCATGGCTGCTTTCTTGCTGAGAGGAGTGAACAAGTTTGGGGCTGGAGTGGAGTTGCTGAAGACAAGGGAGAAGGTGACTGTACCAGCGGTGGTCTGCCATTTTGGTTCTTCCATGACACCATGAACAGATGAAAACATGCCTAGAGAGTTTAGCTTTGGTGGGATGAAATTGATTAGCTACCCAGCATACCCACATGTCTCAGAGGGACCCTACTTCCCAGGATGAGACGGTTACCTACTGCCTGTTTCACCAGGAGGCGTAAAGTTACCTACCCAAGGGGAGGCCACATCAAAGCCAACAGCTGGTGATGGAGAGAGCACATAGGGTAGCTTTGTTCTGCCTGGCTCCTAAGTCTGTGGATTGGTGAGAAAAGAGGTGTAGATCAAGATCAAATCATGTTTCAGATGCCTCTCAGCTATGCTTTATTTATTTTTTTCTTTGTGATGGTGGTGTAACTTATGTATGGTAAAGCAGACAAATCTTTTTTTTTTTTTTTTTGAGACCGAGTTTCGCTCTTGTTACCGAGGCTGGAGTGCAATGGCGCGATCTCGGCTCATCGCAACCTCCGCCTCCTGGGTTCAGGCAATTCTCCTGCCTCAGCCTCACGAGTAGCTGGGATTACAGGCACGCGCCACCACGCCCAGCTAATTTTTAGTATTTTTGGTAGAGACAGGGTTTCACCATGTTGACCAGGTTGGTCTTAATCTCTTGACCTCGTGATCCACCCACCTCGGCTGGGATTACAGGCTTGAGCCACTGTGCCCGGCCTTTTTTTTTTTTTTTTGATACGGAGCCTCTCTCTGTTGCCCAGGCTGGAGTACAGTGGTGGTGTGATTTCGGCTCACTGCAACCTCCACCTCCCGGGTTCAAGCGATCCTCCTGCCTCAGCCTCCTGAGTAGATGGGATTATAAGTGCCCACCACCATGCCTGGTGGATTTTTATATTTTTAGTAGAGATGGGTTTTCACCCCAGGCAGGTCTCCAACTCCTGATCTCAAGCTATCTGCCCACCTGGGCCTCCCAAAGTGGGATTGTAGGCATGAGCCACCATGCCTGGCCAAGTAGACAAACCTTAAATGAGATTTTCAACACAATTTTACAAATGTGCACACGCAGACGAATTCATAGAGCATTTTCATCATCCATGTTCTCTCTCAGTCCTTTCCCCAACTCCAAATGCTACTGTTTAACGTTGAGGTCTAAAGTTTAGTTTTGCATATGCATATGAATGGGCCCTGTAGTTTGTTTGCTTTTGTGTCTGCCTTTTCTTGGGGGGGGGAGGGGGAGTCTCGCTCTGTCGCCCAGGCTGGAGTGCAGTGGCTCAATCTTGGCTCACTGCAACCTTGGACTTCCTGGTTCAAGCAATTCTCTTGCCTCAGCCTCCGAAGTAGCTGGGAATACAAGCACGTGCCCCCACGCCCAGCTAATTTGTATTTTTAGTAGAGACAGGGTTTCATTATGTTAGCCAGGAAGATCTCAATCTCCTGACCTCGTGATTTGCCCACCTTGGCCTCCCAAAGTGCTGGGATTACAGGCGTGCGCCACTGCATCCAGCCTAGTCAGTCCTTTTAACTGCAGCCATTCCGAGGTGGGTTGCTGGGGTAGCTCACATTTTAAATGTCTATTTCCCTGAGGATGGGTGATGTTGAACACTTTTCACGGGCTTACTGGCCATTTGGTTATCCTGTTTGGTGCAGCATCTGTTCTTGTATGCCGCTTTGTTGGGTTGTTCGTTTATTTATTTATTGTTTCCTTTCACAGCCCTCATGCAAGTTAGGTTGTATATTTTTTCCAATTGATTTGTAGGAGAGACTAGGATCGTCAAAGAAATCCTCGTGGAAGCAACCGCTCCTCCTCCACACTTGCTCCTTCCTGTGCTGTTCAGATTTCACAGGCCCCAGGCACCCCCTAGAAGTGCTTATTGGTGTAGAGTCTAAGAAATCCATTAAGCCCTTAGGGAACAATGTGGGCTGTACTGCTGCTGGAAAGAAGCCTGGGTTAGGCCTGATGGTGTTGTTGCTGTTGTTAATTTCCAGGGCTTCCTCATCAAGGCTGCAGTTTGTTTGGGGTTAGGCAAGGTAAACAGATGAGCTACTTTACCTCTGGGACTGCGTTTTTCAGGCCTGGGGAGTAGAAGAGAAGAAACCAAGATGAGAGATGGCATAACCAGAAGCAGGTGGTCCTCACCTGTTTATCTGCAGGCCAGCCCCAGGGCACCTCTCAGGGCCCAGGGATCCAGATTCCAGCCCCAGCCCTGGAAGATACAAGGAGATCATAGGATACTGCTACAAAGCTCCAAACTTGTTCCTTTTCATCCCAACCCCCTTTCAAGGCTTTAGGTGCTGGCAAGGTGCTGTCTTAAGGTGGGAATCCTCAAAGCGTGTTCCCTGGACCAGCAACATCAGCATCACCTGGGAACTTGTTAGAAATGCAGATTCTGGGCCGGGCGCGGTGGCTCACGCCTATAATCCCAGCACTTTGGGAGTCTGAGGCAGGTGGATCACGAGGTTGAGATCGAGACCATCCTGGTCCACAAAGTGAAACCCCGTCTCTACTAAAAATACAAAAATTAGCTGGGCATGGTGGTGCGTTCCTGTAGTCCCAGCTACTCAGGAGGCTGAGGCAGAAGAATTGCTTGAATCCAAGAGGTGGAGGTTTCGGTGAGCTGAGATCACGCCATTGCACTCCAGCGCCTGGGTAACAAGAGCGAAACTCCGTCTCAAAAAAAAGAACAAAAGAAATGCAGACTCTGGCTGGGTGCAGTGGCTCACACCTGTAATCCCAAAACTGAAGGAGGCTGAGGTCCAAGGATCTCCTGAGCCTAGGAGTTACTGGACAACATAGCAAGACCCTGTCTCTACCAAAATAATAATAATAATAATTAGCTGGGTGTGGTGGTGTGTGCTTGTATTCTTAGATCTCATGAAGCTAAGACAGGAGGATTGCTTGAGTCGAGGAATTTGAGGCAGCAGTGAGCTATGATGGCACCACTGCACTCCAGCCTGGGTGACAGAGTGAGACCTGGTCTCTGGAAAAAAAAATTAAAAATTAAAATAAATAAATGCAGATTCTCAGGCCCCACCCCAGATGTGGTGATACTGCTGCACCCAAGAATTTCAGAAGCACTTATTTGAAGAATAATTTGTTCAGCCTAACCCCCAAAATTACATTTCTGCCAAGGCTGTGCCTTGTTAGCCTTCAGAGCTGACTTTGGTTCATGCTTTTGGCAGAGTCAACTTCCTGGTGCTAGGCATAGCAGTGATGACAGCCCAGGTCTCTTTCACAATCTCAACTGTAGAATAGAACCACCCGAACCACCTGGGAAGATGTTGTTGTTTTAAATAAATATACATATAAAAATTATATATATATAGTTTTTTATACGTATATTTATTTAAAACATATATATTTATATATTTTTTTTGTGTATATATATATATATATATATATATATATATATTTGTTATTGTTGGTGGTGTTGTTTTTCTCTGAGACAGGGTCTCACTCTGTTGCCCAGGCTGGACTGGAGTACAGTGGTGAAATCTCTGTTCACTGCAGCCTCTGCCTCCCAGATTCAAGCAATTCTCCCACCTCAGCCTCCTGAGTAGCTGAGACTACAGACATCTGCCACCACACCGGGCTAAATTTTGTATTTTTTGGTAGAGATGAGGTTTCCCCATGTTGGCCAGGCTGGTCTTGAACTCCTGACCTTAAGTGATCCACCTGCCTTGGCCTCCCAGAGTATTGGGATTACAGGAGTGAG